TTAATATGCTAAATAAATTTGCAGTGCAAAAATTCACGTTTGAGGCTTGGATTTTTTTTTTAACACTACATTTCATGAAGAATATTGCTTAAATTGAAATTTTCATTATGCTTGTTATATAATTAAAATCTATTTCATTGTTTTGAGTGAATAAATTATTTTGGGATTTCATGCTTTGAAAATTTATTATGATAATGAGTGTTCAAATAATATCAAGTTTCATAGCAAATTGCAAAAGAGAAAAAAATATGGTTGAATGTTTGAAGGTGAAAAAAATTAAAATAATTAGTCATTGTCTGCTAATGCCTTATACAGAGGTACATGATGTCATTTCTATATTTGGTATCATTAACAATCTGATGGACAGTAGATATAATAATGGGAAAATGGGATTTGTCAGGCTATAGAGATAAGCCAGAAGAGAAACAGACCTCACATAAATCCTACTAAAACCCTGATCCACACAAGTCCCTTATTGAGTAAGAACGAGATTTATAGCATGACATGTTAGAAAATTGAAAGTAGTAACAATTTGATAGAATTAGGCACCAATAATATGAAAGTAAAGCAACCATTATAAGAAGATTATGAATTTATGATCATATCAGATACTCTTACATGTATGATTCAAGATTAGAAACAGCATGTTCAAATTATAACAAACAAGATTGAGAAAAGAGTAGAGAAATATATAACCAGTTTATATATATATATATAAGTAAGTTGATAACAAAGATCAATACCAATGTTAGTCAGTTCTTATTTTTTTAATTTACAAGAAATATAATATTGTTGTTTTTATAAGCGTTTAGAATTATAATTAGTAAAACAATAGGATTCTTTGTATTGTAAATAGTATTAGAATTTGAAAATAGAAAAAGAATTCATATCTCTTAAGAATAAAATAAATAATTAACGCATAGCTCTTAATTAGTAGTAATATTGGAAAAGAAATCTAAAATTAGGATGCTATGATTTAGGACATATAATAATATAACTAAAACATGTATAAAATAATAATAATTATTTGAAAAAACAATAATAAAGAGCACAATAAAATAAAATAAAGAGGGGAATTGCCTCAAAAGCTTACCCCAACCGTTAACCCAAACTCTGCCTTTATATATAGTATTGATAGATGGATTAAGTGAGTTTCTGAGACCAGGTACTTCAAAACTTCTATTGCAGTTACAATAGTTGACTTTAGGAGAGCTAAAACCATTTTTTCTAGTCAAATATAAACCCCCCCCCAAAAAGAAACAACCATTAATGTAAAGAGTGCTTCTCAAATAAGATTGCAGTAGTGACCCTGTTGATCACTGAATTGCACTACTTACAGGTGATTAGCCCACCCCAATTTCTAACAGCTGGCACCAGGGATATGATTGCTTGTTTCCCTCACTGTTTTTGATGTAACTAAGTTGCAGCATCATTGTTTCCAATGTAGCTTCCCCAGAACAAGCAGCTGGCATTCTCCTAGAATGCAGATTCTGCTAGTGTTCATGTTTCAAACCTAAAGCTTATGCTATATATAAAACAAGTTGGAAGTCATCATTATGGGTCATGACTCATGATCAAAATTGAAAGGTGCATCCTTAATCAGAAGTCCTTGAGTCTTTCTATTTATGGATTTTCCATATATTTAAAAGTACAGATTCTGTTGCAGTTTATCCCCAAACTATTGTTGGTTTTGTCTATGTACCATAAGCAAGGATCAACTTACATGTTAACATTTGTGTGTTTTGTGTATCCATGTCACTGCTAAAGGGCCTCTATATCCGCTCAAGAATTACAATCAATCCTGATAAAGTTTATAGAATGGCCATGACAAAGCTGAACACCTCAGCTGGGATTCTTGAGGTTATGGGTGCTCCTCTCACAGGAACAGTATTAAGAGCCTACGTGATGTCAGGAGGTGGACTTATTCTAAAGAACTTTAAGCCAACTGTTAGGAGCAAGCGTTGTTTTCTCATCTTCCCAATACGAGGTTCTGAGAGAAAAGGTCTAGTCAGTGTTGAAGTTAAGAAGAAGAAAGGCCAGGTATGCTTGCTTTCTTTGTTTTGAACATCTCAATGCTCACCTTCATTGTTTTGAGCATCTGATCAAGCAATAGAATGTTTTTAAGAAATGAAAAAATGGAATCTATGATTATGATTCTTTTTGTCTTTTGCTACTCATAAATCATAAATTGAGCTTCTCTTAAGTGGAGCAAATTGATTGCCACCCGTGTTGCTGTTGCATTAAACAGTAAATGAAGTTTTCTAGCTACGTGAGTATCTGTGCAAGAGAGAGGGAAAGGGGATTGTGCTTGGGAGGATTGTTGCATGAATTCATATTTGCATATTTCTATCAATTTAGAAGTTAGAAACTGTTATTGGCAGCAGCTTCTTATATGTATTATCCTGAAGCTCTGTGCACAAGTAATCCCAGAGCTGTCACTTATATGTATATGTATGTGAGAAAATTTACATATTGATAAGGGTAAATGAACAACTTAACCCTTCTTATTTAAAGAACTGTTTCAAATTTCTGTGCAGTATGATATGAGGTTATTGGCTGTTGACATCCCCATGGCATCAGGACCTGATCAGCGATTATTTCTGATTGGAGACGAAGAAGAATACAAGGTTGGTGGCGGTTTAATATCTGAGCTGAGAGATCCTGTGGTGAAAGCAATGGCAGCAAGCAAGGAATTTGATGTTCTTGATCAAATCGAGGAAGAGGAGGATGCTGAGAGGGAACTTCAGGAAGCTGAAAGAAAGCACCGTGAGGAAATTGAAAAGCTTGAAAAAGGTGGCTCCTAGTGCCCGTTTAGTAAACTGATGTTCCTTTCCCTTCCATTCATTCCTTTTGTTTTTCATTTCCATGGATTTGTTTTGCTTAATGGAGGCCCATGGCTTGATGTACGGGCATCATGACTGGTATCACAGTTTATGCAAAGTTTTCCTGAATTGCTGACGAGTCATCTTCAGAAGTCTTAAGAGTTTTTGTACTATTGAAGTTGAGATGGCCCGTACGAGGCAATAAAAGCATACAAGTGAGGCAGCCTTTCCCACAGAAGGCATTTTTTTCTGACATGGATCGGTTTCCTTGCCTTGCTTGCCAATTTACTCTGGAAATTTCTTTTAGCAATAATTTATAATTTTTCTTTAATGCTCTAAAATCATTCTAAGATGATCTGCTTTGGTTTATAGATTTAGACCTGGATTGCAATGGTTTCAGTACCGAAGACTAGATATCCATGTTGCCTGTGCATTTTTAGTTACATGCATGGTGTACTTTTCTGTTTGTTAATTAGAACTCCTGACTGATCTTGTTTTAAAGCCTGTTGCATGCTAGGTTATTTCTTTTGATCCAGAAGCTGTCACTGGACCATTGTTAATTTTGCAGTCTTGTTTAGAAGTCACAAGTTCTGTGAAAGGTCTGCTTGTCAGCTAATTCATGGGATGGTTGATGTTTATCACCAACATCTGGGGTACAGTTGCTGATGCCTGATAGGTAATTATGACAACCACTGCATGATAACTGAACGTCAGCAGTTTTGACATCTCTGGATTTTTAAGCACATGAAAGCTTCCGCACAAGTTCAGGACATCTAGCTTTTACACAATTTGCTTCTACACAATTTGCTACTTCACTGGTTATGGGTTCTAGTAGAGGAGTGAATTTTTCTAACTTTTAATGCGTCTTCATGAAAGGCCTTTCCTTTTCCTCTACGATGTTTATATCCGTAACACAAGGCCCCCTATCTTTGTGGTTGCCGTTTCCATGACAGTCTACCAGGACGTGAGCGAGGAAGGGAGGTAGGATTCATGACTTGATGCTCACACCCAACTCCCAAGGACCTTCTGCGGAACCTGATTTCCTTATTTGGTCCCATTGTGGATTCGTGTCTCTCAAAAACTGGATAAAACAGGACCAGTTTATTTAAGCTGTGGTCAGTCAGCTTAATTACTCGAGTCTTTTTCTCGTCTAAGTGGTTGGAAAATGACACCCAACTAGCAAAGACAACACGGTATATTAAATTCCCAGCGATCTATCTGTTTCAGCATAAAACTTTATTGGGTCCTTCAAGGCAAGATCTTACAGTAAAGGAAACGGACCCCCTCCCCTAACCATTGTCAGGAAAAGAAGGCAAGGACCCTACCATGTGAGTTCCAGTTTGTAGGTTGGATGTTGAGCATGGAGTCAAAACAAGTCATAACTCTCCATGCTTAAAATCATCATTCCTTTTTCCAGAAAATTTTCAAATTCACCATAATGTATATGGAACCACAGTAAGGGAGTCATTATTATCGTTATTATTATGCCAATACATTGTAAGCTAATGGCAAACAAATACGCTCTAAACGCTTTCATAAAGGGTGACAACTTAAGAGCTCATGCTTAATTATTCATCATCTTCTGTCCGCTGGTTTTCCCCTTGCCTGTACGTGCCAAAAAGAGGAGAAAGAGAGGGAAGAAAGAAATGTGGTGTTAACTATCCCTTAGTAAGCTCAAGGCAGTTTTGAATTCTTTCCCTCTGTAAAATATGATGGATGTTTCATCATAGATTTTGACTAACATTCGTTGCCATCATTGAGTTTGTTGTCCAACACAGCTAAAATCTCAAGGCAAGAAAATGACATTGCAACAAACTCCCAGCTTGCTGCCTATCCTACTGTCTTCACCATAATAGAACAAGATTACTTTATAATCATACTAGAGCAATATTAAGTCTAGATTTCTGCTCTTATCATCACTCCCCCTTCTGTCTCTCTTTTTCATACAAATATAGAAGATAATAGATGAAAAGGCTACAGTTTCTTGTGAAGTTGAGAAGCGGGTTGTGAGCTCTACAAATTCATTGTGCTGTTCACAAGCTTTTCCTGGGTAATTTAAGGTTACATTTACTATTACTATGAAACTGTATTGGACTTCAAATGCTTGCTGTGTCATTGTCAATGGTTGCATGCATAGAAGACACGGTTGTATTCCATTAACAAAAGAAAACCGGGACCAAACATGTTTCAATGAAGTCTTGCATAGTTCTTTAAATGGCAGATAAGAGAGAAACGAATAGCATATAGAGGCTTCAGTCCTGGTACTTTTGCAAGCATTCCACGTTGTTAATTCCTAGTGACGAAGACAACCACACTGTCGGTTGTCTAGTTGATGGCCAAGAATGCATCTGCGTGCTTATTCTTTTTTTCCCCCCTTTTTAAACAAAGATACAAGAAGTTTGATAACAATCAATAACCTCCATTTCTTTATTCATAGCTTGGTTTTTTTCCTTCTTGATAAAATTCTCATTTTGTCTTGAAAACTTGAATTAGAATTGGGGTTTTGCCTTGATTCAAGTTCTTCTGTACATCCATTATCGAGACTTGAAAGGAGTTTCAGACCTTAAATTCATGGTCAGCGATAATGCTTTTTGATCTGAATATTTAGACAGCAGTTGAGAGAATTACTAAGAATATATACAGTTGCTAGCCTATAAATTCGGTGACCCAAATTAGCATTCATTACTATCATTATCACTTCCACCTTTTTTTTTTTTGTATTTTTGAGCTGGAGCGTCAACTGAAAGCACTTGAACTTGGTTCTCCTCTCAGTGTATTGCCCCTTCATTTCGTTTACCTTCTATTTGCTGGAACTGATTTCAGGAAAGATTTTTGTATTCTGATTTTCTTGCAGGTATTTTTGGATATGCAAGGCAGAAGTTATTAGATTGAAAATTGTCATGTTTCCTTGGTATAAGTCTCTATCTCCATAATATTTGTTTGTCACTTGCTAACTTGGAAAATATATTTTATGTTGTTATCAGCAAGTGATATCAAGCACACTTTCTTTAACATCCAACTGGATATCAATTATTTGCTCCTTTATTTTCTTTATGGTTACTTCCTGTGAGCTTCCCTCCTGCATGATTCCCAATCGATTTCTTCTTCTAATGGATAACGCAGGTTTACATGGCTTCATAGCTCAAATGAACAAGTATGAAATGACATTCTGAGTGAGTGATAGTGACTTAGTGGCATCTGTTTCCTACTTTCTTAATACTGCTAGTTAGAACAATAGTGCTACTTTCTTTATGCAATGACTTTTCTTTAACAAAAAAAAAAGGAGGAGAATTTAACTTTTTGCTTTCTCTTTACATCAATCTTCTTCTTTTTTTTTCTCTTGGATTCTTTATCACCACTTTGCTTTTGACATGTGCTTCCTCTGGTAAGAGAGCTTTGCTTTCCCAAAATGAAAATGTCAATCAACAACACCTTATTTATTATTTCTCTTTTCGTTCTAAAGTAAATTCAACTTTAATGTACAGTGATCTACTGTTGTGGTGAACGATCTCAGTAACTTCAACATTTCCTCGGAACCATGTTCAGCTAACTTTTATCAATGTTCTGATTCACTGAACCAGGAGAGCACCGGGAGCTGCTGAAGCCAGAAACAAGCATAGTTCATTTCAAACTGAGCCACTATCAATGAAGCTCCTGTCCTCCATTTCCACTGTTGTTTCCCTTTTCTTCATACTTCCAGTTGTTCCTCAGATTATAGCTGACCTGAATTCTGACAGACAAGCACTTCTTAACTTTGCTGCTGCTGTTCCACACATCCGGAAACTCAATTGGAATGCTTCTACCTCAGTTTGCACGTCCTGGGTTGGCATTACCTGCAACACAAATGGAACCGGGGTGGTTGCTGTCCATCTTCCAGGCGTTGGACTGTATGGCCCTATCCCAGCCAACACTATAGGAAGACTTAATTCTCTAAAGATTCTCAGTCTCCGATCCAATAGCCTCAATGGAAAGCTTCCTTCTGATATCCCCTCCCTCCCTTCCCTTCGGCACCTTTACCTGCAACAGAATAACTTCTCTGGCGTCTTCCCTGCCTTGCTCTCCCTTCAACTCAATGTCTTGGATCTTTCCTTTAACTCCTTCACTGGAAGCATTCCACCCACCATACAGAATCTGACTCAGCTCACTGCATTATACCTCCAAAACAATTCCATCTCCGGAGCCATACCGGATATCAACCTTCCAAGTCTCAAGGCTTTAAATCTGAGCTTTAACTATTTCAATGGTACAATTCCATCATCTTTCCAGAAGTTCTCCTATTATTCATTCGTTGGGAACTCTCTATTATGTGGACTGCCTCTCAAGCGTTGCCCCACCATCTCCTCTTCACCTTCTCCTTCCCCAAATGACTTTCTAAACCCCCCAACAAAGCCCCAATCTCACACTGCTTCCAACAAGAAACTTGGTTCAAATTCTATAATTGCTATAGCAATTGGGGGATCAGCTGTGCTGTTTCTCATAATTATGGTTATCTTTGTTTGCTTCTTGAAAAGAAAAGACGGGGCAAGAAACACAGTATTGAAAGGGAAGGCTGAGAGCGAGAAGCCTAAGGATTTTGGTAGTGGGGTGCAGGAGGCTGAGAAGAACAAACTGTTTTTCTTTGAAGGCTGTTCTTATAACTTTGATCTTGAGGATTTGTTGAGGGCATCAGCTGAAGTTCTTGGTAAAGGGAGTTATGGAACAGCCTACAAGGCAGTTTTGGAGGATGGGACATCAGTGGTGGTGAAAAGGTTGAAGGAAGTTGCTGCTGGAAAGAAGGAATTTGAGCAACAGATGGAAGTTATAGGGAGAGTTGGACAGCACCCTAATATTGTTCCACTCCGTGCTTATTACTACTCCAAAGATGAGAAGCTTCTAGTTCACAACTACATGTCAGCAGGCAGCTTATCTGCATTCCTGCATGGTAAGCTGTCTTTTAGCTCAATTATAATGAACAAGTTTTGTTTTCCTTTCCTCCACATTTTTTTTTGCATAGCTTCCATCACCTGGCATTAGAAATTTGTGCAAGGCAGATCAAAATTTTCTACTTGTGATTTTTATCCAGGGAAGTTTTTCACCTAGTAACGACTGCTTGAGAACAAGCAAGACCAATGTTCACTAGTTTAATGAGAACCAGAAAATGGTTTAAACTTCAGCCTGTGAGTTTTATCCTTTTAGGAGCTGTGTTTGGTTCTGTAAGAAACATGTTTTCCCAAATGAACACGGTAGAAGGTTAGGAATCTCATCTATCATACAACAGCTCTGCATCAAGTTGGTTCTGGCAGTCTAGCACAAAGTAGTCATGCTGGCTCTTTTGATTTATTGACTAGAGTTACACATTAACAATGGCTTAAAACTTGAAAGTTAAAAGCCCTTGCAGAGAAGATTTACAGCATTTGTAGAAGAAAATTTTGTTAAATTAGTGGAGAATACCAAATAGGCTAATAAAAATTGATCGAATTCCGTAGAATCGATTATGAGATTGGGTGTCATTAACAGCCAGAATAGACAGTTATGGTACTATAAAATTCCTCATGATGAAGTTCAGCTAACTATACCCATCTATACTTTTGGTTTTTGCCGATTGCTGCAGAATAATGTACTTTTTGATTGAATCGATCTCAATGGTGGTTTTTTTATTCTTGAAAAAACCTTGAGTGTTATAACATTCTGATGAATCACTTTATTAGTACAGTTGTTTGGAACCCGGTAACAATATCAAATAATGTGGAACCTCTCAGTTTATTTAAAATGATGTAAATTTGTTGCTTGGTGTGCTGTAATCTGCATAATTGCCATAACATTTGTATATATCAAACCTTTTCAGCTCACTTCAACTTTGCTATGCCTGTAACTAGGACAATTTGACTGCACTCCCTTGTATTATCAGTTGTCTCTGATATAAATTTTATGCTTCTTCCCCGTGCTCTTTTTGCATGGAAATAATAGGCAATAGGGCTGGAGGTAGAACTTCACTGGATTGGAATGCAAGAGTGAAGATATGCCTTGGGACTGCCAGGGGAATTGCCCGCATTCATTCTGAAGGTGGTGCCAAATTTTTCCACGGTAACATCAAGTCTTCCAATGTAATCCTCACCTCAGATCTTGATGGGTGCATCTCTGATGTTGGATTGGCTCCTCTGATGAACTTCCCCACAACCATGTATAGAACCATTGGATATCGTGCTCCGGAGGTGATTGAAACACGCAAAGCCTCTCAGAAATCTGATGTTTATAGTTTTGGGGTGCTCCTTCTGGAAATGCTGACTGGGAAAGCCCCTCTACAAGTTCCAGGGCATGACAGTGTGGTTGATCTTCCAAGATGGGTGCGGTCTGTTGTCAGAGAAGAATGGACTGCAGAGGTTTTTGATGTTGAGCTTGTAAGGCACCAAAATATTGAAGAGGAAATGGTGCAGATGCTTCAGATTGCTTTGGCATGTGTGGCAAAAGCACCAGATATGCGTCCCAAAATGGATGAAGTTGTTAGGATGATAGAGGAAATTCAACATTCTGACTCAAAGAACAGGTCATCCTCCGATGCTGAGTCTAATATCCAAACTCCATGAGAGTTTCAAAATTTTCGCGCAGTGGAAATGATATATCAGATGCTGTCTGATATGGTAAGGCGATATGCATGAATGCATCATGCATACATGCTAAGCCTTAATCTCTCAATGTATCCCATACTTCACCACGAATTGTACTACCTGAATCCTGTAGAAGATTTTTAGAATAAATCTTCGGAAAAATAAACTTCCTGTCCCTTGATTTCTTGAACCGAATTCTTTTCCAACTATTGTAAGCTGGCTGATATGCTTTAACTGATCTGCAGATTCCAAAAAACTGAAGCTTCCTTATGCTAGGCTGAAATTCAAGATAACTTTACGGAGAATTAATTGTGTTGCCACTTAACCTCCTAGAATATCAGCCATTTTCAGGTTAATCAACTTGATAAAATAGATATATTTCACACCACAGATTATCCATGAAATCAATGAACATGATGCAGTAAATTAATGCAAAACAGATGAAAGATGATTTTCCAGATGGCTGAGATTAAAGCATTTCACAAGGGTAAGGTGAGGCTTTGTAAATGCATATTGCATATTAACAACCACTCTGGTTAATAACGCCATGACCAAAAAAAGGAGGTCGTAGGATAGAAATAGAAGGCCAAAAAAAGTCTATTAAATGGGGCATTGTTTTACTAGCAGCCCTTTGCTTATTCGTTGGTTATAGTAGAATATGTCGTTAGTTTACAGCAAACAACCCAAACGTGGAAACTTGAAATGGCAACACACCCCCTGAAGGGAAGGACACCTATAGTCTCTAGCATCTCTCTTTCTCTGTTGAAAGGTCTACGGGATCTTTGACTGCCCATGTTGTCTATTTCTGATAAGGCCTTAATGACATGATCTTGTGGTGAAATACTGGATTACACTACATATCAGAATCAATTGGATCCAAAGGTAAAATGTCACGACCCGAATCCCGAGTTCATGACCGGTAACACAGGAGCAGTGTTGAAAGGACACCCCACCTCTTTGTTTGGAATGCTCTAGCTGTTTCATTGGTTTCTTCTCCATCATTTGAATCTTTTGATGATAATTAACATAAGAAATGATCTCATTTAGGTAATGCGTGAATGTCCTACAAATTTATCCAAAGCTGTAATTTCCAATTGTTATAGCCTGTAAGTTAACAATCTGGTTTAGTTGAAATGCATCCACCAAAATTTGAATGGTTTTGCAGTCTCGGCAAGAAAGAGGAAGACTTTATTACTGTTTTGCAAAGTTTTGGATGGCTTAATGCTGTCACTGCTAATGAAAGAGGGAGAAACTTTTTACCTTAAAGAGAGAAAAGACAGGTATAATAGATAATGAAATCCGCAGAAGATTAGGGGGGTTTATTTTGCATTTCTAGCCAAAAATAATGGAGCTGGATTTTACTCTTTTGGTTTAAAAGATGATACATAAAGAGAACTCATGCCATGTATCTCTAGTGCCTTTTTTGTTTTACCTAGAAGAAAAAAGAAAAAGAACTGCAACAGATCTGATGGATATTCTCTTTTAGGAACCTGCTGTAATCGCAAATCCATCACCAGGGTGTAATGGGACATTGTTGGTCCACGGTGAGTCTTTTTAAACAAGCTGAAAAGAACTATGCTTATCTCTCATTCTGATATTCTTCGTGTGTAAGTGATGTTCATTCTGTAATGCTCTTGCCGTTTTAAGGCTCCTGCTGGCTGTTGCGACTTCTTTTGCACCGAATCTTGATTCTCAACTTTGTTTTTGTTGAATAGAGCCTGATCAAGTTTACCTTTTGAAACCTTGACTCTTCTTCATTTCCATGTTCAGTTTCTGCAAACCTCTCAGTATGTTTATATTTCGTTTCAAATGACAAATGGTTGTAGGGTTGACAATCCACAATGTCTTGTTTCTTGATGAAAACTATGATGGTGTCAGTTAACAAATCAAAGTGTTTGTCAAGAATGACTAGATTTAAGATCACCTCTTCACTTCTCTAAACAGAACTTTCAATGGGTTTTCCACTTAATATGTATTTCCATAAACCTGAAAGAACCTAGAAGATAATCTAGACCAGTCTGATCAGCTGTAACACAAGGCATTATTTAGCTCTTGAACTCACAGCCTGTCCTATACCTACATATCATCACCTTAAAATACATGAAGTTTTCAGGCTCCAGCTTATCAGGGTTTTAATCGAAAATTCTTTCATTTTTTAAGAAACCTGGCGTGCCAGTTTTGAACCACTTATCAAGTAATCATGCTTCGGATGCTAATCTCCATGGTAACCCATATTTAGACACGGTCCATCATCCTCGATATATCATTCAACATATTGAGGATAACTCTTGCAGGTCTGCGGTTGTTGTAATAATTGTCATGGAGGTAATGAAGAAAGTAGTGTTCATAAAGAGAATTATCGTAAAGAATTTGCCAGTAGAAATGTTCACCTTCTTACCACTACGGAGAAATGGAATGAAAAAATATCAGAAGCAAGTAGGGATGGGAAGATTGTAAGTTCTTAATACTTGGCTACCTTTTATGTTTACCTTCTCTCCATTTTCCTTTTCCCCACATTTCCTGAATTCAGTCATTACAGGGTGAAAAATTCATATGGATGCTCTGGTAGTATTCAGATGTAACTGTCATCATTTACATGTCTAATTTCTCACATTGGTAATTTTTTCCCTCACCTGTCCAACAGACGGTCGTAAATTTCAGTGCATTGTGGTGTGCCCATTTAAAACAACTGCACAAGCCTTCTGCGAGCTTGCAGATAAATATTCCTCGGTCATATTTCTAACAGTTGATGTTGATGAGCTTGCAGTAAGTAAATCATGTTTTTACTGTTAGCCTTAGGTAACAGAGAATGAAGATCAATGCACGACAAGGTTGTCAAGAATTTCTCTCTACTTTTACACGAACTCTCATTCACTTTTACAATTTAAAAGACATAAGTCAAGACTTATCTACATCTATATGCATGGTGATGAAATTATACTTGAGCTTTAATAATTCGTCGATGCCTATTTGAAACACAAAAATGAATTTCTGCATCAGGTTCTCATATTTGATCAACACTTAGCAGTATATTAATATGTTTGATTCAGTTTTTTAGTGTGTTCAATAGATAGAGATTAATCACAGAACATATTTAATGAGTGAAATGTGCTGTCTGATTGGATGCAGGAACTGAGTACTTCATGGGAAATTAAAGCAACTCCAACATTCTTCTTCCTTAAAGATGGGCGACAAGTTGACAAACTTGTTGGAGGAAACATGGCGGAGCTCCAGAGGAAGACTGCTGATATTGTCAATCTTGAGTCTAGGTCACGTAATTGACTCTTATTCCTGAAAACTGGCTTATTTTCCATTCCATTGTCCAATCAGAATTTCTGTTACCATGTAGTCGTGTCAGCAACCACTGCCAGGCACTGGTGCATCAATTTTTGAAAAATCTGATATTTGCACGTGAGATATGAGAGCATTGGTTTTTCAGACAAAAAGTTAAAAACTGTGTACTCAGTAGGGCGTTTAGAGCAGGAAACTAACAAAGAAAAGTTGCAAATTCTTGATGGATATTGCTGTGAATCCTGACTGTACCAGTGGATTTGTCAGAAATTGAGAGAAGGGATGCGTGATGGAAAGGATCTTTCTTATACTACTCTCATATGAGGGGAAGTCTCCTGGATCTGAGAGTGCTCATGGACTTGGATTGCATTACTCTCAAGATGTATATTTATATTAGTCAAGTGATAATTCTAGAGGCTCAAGGATAACCACATCATTAATGCATTGAACCTGTAAGACCTAAAAGGACTGTTTGGAAAACTCAACTCAACATTATTCTAGATTTCAACATTAATTCCAACAGGATTTGCTTCGTATGCTCAACATCAGGAATTGTCTGTAATCATTAAAATGATTTCATTCAACCATGCCAAGGAGATCATGATCCGATTATATGTACTCAAATTTAGCATTCTGTTGATTCTAGACCTGTCGAGAGTAAACACTTGAAACGAGCCATGGATAAAAATGTTACCAAGATCCTGAAGGGTTCTCCTATTGCATGAATTTTCAACATTTCCTTGGTAATATGCACTCACCATCGAAGCCTATACTCTATCCAAGTGTCCGCAAGAATTACACCCATCCTTCCTTTTCCCATCAGCTGCTTCTTGTTCAGACATCTTCTGTCCATATAAAAGAGTCCAGGGAAAAATTAAAATTCTATCGTTTATACAGCAAACACAAACTGCCTGGAGTCCTTGTCAATTTAGCAAAAATGAACTGTTCACATTTTAACATGAAAATGGTGATTGATGATATGAGAGGCAGAGTCTTAATAATGTCTCTTTTTCAATTTTTCTATGCTAATAGACATTAATGTATGAAGTATATAGCAGATATAATGGCACCTCAATCCTCTATTTAGATTACCAACGTGGACAAAAAATCATAATAGAAGTATAATGTACTTGGGAGAGACTATATTTTGCAAGCTTACATAATTACCTGTCTATTGGATTTCTAAATGACCATCATCTAAAGTTGAATTGCTTAACTTGCTAAATCTGCAAAGGTAAGAGGTACGTACAGGAGAAGAGCTGGTATTTCTGCTAATATTTCTCTCTTGTCTGTTTATGACGTTGAAAATCTTTGCATTTAAAAGCTCACCATTTCTGTTCTTACCCACCATGACGATGCTTCCTGAAATGACGTGCTATACCATTCACCAAAGTGTTGAACCACCATCCAGTGGAAATATTCGGACAGCCCATAAGACCCAAAAGCAACTATGATCACTTTTAAAAGGTTGGATTGATCCACATGAACATCATCATGGTAAGAATTGTGTATGGAAATTCTTTCTGTGAGATGGCACCAGGTATCTTGACATTCCCCTTCAACTTGCATCTAGGTGGATAAGTGTATCATGATTATGTGATTGCAACTCATTTTCTAGAAAAAAATGAGCCTATTGGAGTAGCAACTTTTACAGAAAGACCATATCCACAGTGATGATCTTAAGTCGAATTTCTAATGTATAGTTGGTTTATCAGAGGTAGCACATACACTGACAAGCACGAGAGCAGGCAACAGAGAGGTGCATCAGTGCCGAAGAGCAAAAAGTTTATTAAGGTGGATGATACAAGATTCAAATACAACGAAAAAGAAAAAAAAAATGGAAGTCATCAAAGTTTCAGGGAAAGAAAGGTCATCTTCCAATGACTCCATTAGTCATTGGTTTCTCCATCTCATTGTAAGAGATCTGTTGTACGGTGTTTAGCATATATGCTAAGCATATACTGTAAGGATATCCAGGAAAACTTCGGAGAAACCCCAGACACAAAATAGACAGATATCAACCGAGCGAGCATTCCTAAAACAGCTGAAAAAAAAAAAAAGAATTATGCTTCAGACAAAATCTTTCAAATGGAGAAAATACTTAAATTAGCAGTGATCCTGGCAGCTAGCTGTGCTAAAAACATTGACTGACACCCGAGACAGACAATCAGGAAATATTGCGAAGTTGAGATGTGTCCTGGGAATAAAGAATCTTAAGACTAACAGCCAAGGCAAAGAGTGTTTATCTCTCTTTCTTCATCCTGATGTCTTGGTAATGACGGGTTTCTTTTTATAAATAAAGACGTTAGCCACAACGAGAATTTCTTGTGTTACCAGTGTCCTGCATCCATACAGGACAAAAACCACCATCCCTGACACGCTTAATTCCCTTCCTTATATTATGCATTGACTCCCTGTGCATCTCAAACACATCTCCTCTTCTCAAATCAGCTTGGAGAAATTATTACTCCAGACATGTCAGACGGAGCTCGAGCTGTCTTTTTAGCTCTTGACAATGCCAAGACCCAACTCTACCATTTTAAGGCAATTGTTATAGCGGGTATGGGATTTTTCACTGATGCTTACGATCTCTTTTGCATCACTGCTGTAACCAAGCTTATTGGCCGCCTATACTACTTCGACCCAGCTACAGGCGGCCAGGGTAAGCTACCGATAAATATCAACAATGCGATAACTGGAGTTGCTTTATGTGGAACCCTAGCAGGGCAACTCTTCTTTGGGTGGCTTGGGGATAAACTTGGTAGGAAGAAAGTTTACGGCATCACTCTAGTTACTATGGTCGGGTGCGCCTTAGCTTCTGGACTTTCCTTCGGGTCCACAGCTACAAGTGTGATTGGAAGCCTCTGCTTCTTCCGGTTCTGGCTTGGTTTTGGGATTGGAGGAGACTATCCGCTCTCAGCTGTGATTATGTCTGAATATGCCAATCAAAAAACTCGTGGAGCATTCATTGCAGCAGTCTTTGCAATGCAAGGAGTAGGAATTCTGTTCGCAGGAGCTATATCCACAATTGTCTCCAAGGCATTCATGAATGCTTTCCCATCTCAGCCATTTAGTCAAGTCAATATGCTATCAACTCAGCCTGAAGCTGATTTTGTTTGGAGGATAGTGCTCATGTTTGGTGCAGTCCCTGCAGCTTTAACCTATTATTGGCGAATGAAAATGCCAGAAACAGCTAGGTACACTGCCTTAGTTGAGGGAAACCACAAGAAGGCTGCTAACGATATGGCCAGGGTTCTTGAACAGGACTTTACTGTTGATGAAACAAGTTCTAAGGCTCCTATTAATCCCAACTCTTCATACGGGTTCTTTTCTAAAGAGTTTGTTTATAAGCATGGGACTCAACTTATTGGGACAGCCAGCACGTGGTTCCTATTGGATGTTGCTTTCTATTCTCTCAATTTAGCCCAGAAAGATGTATACCCAGCTGCTGGATTGCTAAACAAGGCCTCCTCAATGAATGCGTTAGAGGAGATGTACCAGCTCTCCAAGGCAATGTCCTTAATCGCACTTGTTGCAGTTGTTCCTGGTTACTGGTTTACTGTGTTCCTCGTTGATAGGATCGGAAGGTTCATAATCCAGCTTGGCGGCTTCCTTATGATGTCCATTTTAATGGCAATTCTCGGATTCAAGTATGGGTATCTTAGAGGGGAGAAAAATGCATGTGGCCCAGATTCGAAAAAGGAATTCTGTGGTGGTCACCCAATAATGTTTGCAGTTCTTTACGGACTCAACTTCTTCTTCGCTAACTTTGGACCAAACAGTACAACCTTCATAGTGCCGGCAGAGCTGTTTCCAGCAAGATTCCGCTCGACATGTCATGGTATTTCAGCTGCATCAGGAAAAGCAGGAGCTATAATCGGTGCATTTGTTGTACAGTACTACACTCAGGATGGAGACTCAAATGGAATCAAGAAGGCAATTATCGGACTTTCTGTGGTCAATTTGATTGGCTTTTTCTGCACTTTCTTGGTGCCAGAAACAAAAGGCAAGTCCCTCGAAGAACTCTCTGGAGAAGACCAGGATACAGGCAGAAATGCAGAAGCAAATGGTAGAAACTATCGAACTAATGTGGGTCCAGAGAGTGAAATGGTTTAGCTCTTGTTATTAATTCCTTTTCTCCAGTATTTCAAGCAATCACTACGTGTGGATCTCCAATAAAGCAAGCTAGCTCCTCCTTCACTGTCAAAATAGAGGAATAAGGAGAAAGAAATTGCAGCTGCATTGATTGTTGTTACAATATAATTATGTGAGTGTGCCTTCTTATAGTTTTCGATTAAAAACAAGTTACTGTAATGTGAAATAAAATTATAATTAGGTGATTGCAATTTGAAATGAAACTGGGAAGAAAAAGAATCACCAAAATGCTAGCTTCTGCTCTGTATGACTTAACCCTAACAGCTCCTACAGCAGTCTGTTTCCATACACTCTGCAATTACATGTTTGTGCTTGATAAAGGTCTATTATCAATACATTATATCCTATTAGGACTCAGCAAATATACTACTAATTTTACACGCTATATTCTACACCATACTGCTGGCTTTCTCTCTTTGAAGGCATCTGTTGACGGAATCTATCCCAGAGGTGTTTATTCCTAATATTACTGTTGCTGGAAAATAATTTTCCTGCAACATGAAGAAGTCTGTCAGTGAGGCTTCTTAGTCTGCAGCTGACTAGCTGTAGAGATATCAAACAGGAAATGGGAAGCTGCACTCCTAGTCTGCATTAGCTTTAAGCATTCGCTCATCAGATTTCTTTAACCATCTTCAATGGCTCACGCAGAAGTTGGATTCTGTTTCTTTTTAGTTGTTTTGGCATGTGGGATTTACAATTTTTTTATTTTATTTTTATTTTAACATAAAATACTTGGCTTCGTTTACAAATGGTAACTGAACAATTAGAAGCACATCCTAAACACAAACCTGAAACAATTTGGAGTCTAAATTTTATAGTTTTAACTGAAATACG